TAGAAAGCCATTGACCCCAAACTCCTGCTATCAACACACACACCAAAGCCTGGATCACCAAAATTCTCCCCAAGATCCAGGCATTTCACTTGGCACACCTATCAAACAGAAACCTCAACATCAACCAACTCAAAAGGAGGGTTTCAAATTTGCCAATAGATGCTACCGATGCGAGATTATGAGTCTCACTCTCACCCTTTTATCCATTGTCATTTCACTCAAGAAGTATGTAACAAGCACCTCAGAGATTTCCAATTTCAGTGGGTCACCCCACCAACAATTGAGTTGTGTTTCTCGCCTATTCATCCCTTCTTTCACCTCAGAGGGATTGTTCCTATGAAGAGCATCCATCCAAGCCAACTTGTGGTCCATTTGGAGGCAACACAACGCTCACATCTTTCGCGAAGTCAAGACTAGTGCAACAGTGACAGCAAAGCAAGCAAGACGACTAACGATCTTCTGGGCTAACAGTTGCAAACTACTAAAAGGCTTCCCCAAAATGGACTATGAAACCAATTGGCTCGATATTGTGCAAACCAAGAAAATCAAACCATCGCGTTCCAATGTTTGGGACCATCAAGGTCAATATAAATTGTTGCTCCTCAGGAAACCTAAGGGGTGGTGGCAATGGGTGGGCCGGGCCTGGCCCAACCCTTGTCCCTGTTAGGGCCATGCCGGGCCAAAAACAAATGAAGAAAAATTAAAAGAAAAACAAGAAAAAAAAAAGCAGGTTAAGCCAAGCCAAACTAGGCTGGCAGTGTCCCAGCCCCCACGTTTTTAAGGCTGGCTAGGACAGGCCGCCCTGGCCATTGCCAGCCCTACTGAAACCCAAGTCGAAGTGGAGTGGGGATCATTTTTACAGATTCCAATGGCAACACTTTGCACTCCTTTTCAACTCATGTCAGTTTTAGAGATTCCAATTGGACTGAGGCAATCAATGTACTCCAAGCTCTCAAGAGATTCAATCCTCAACAGGGTAATCATTGGACCGTAGAGGCGGACTCCCGAAATGTCATAGCATGGTCATTGAACTCTTCTGAATCCCCTTGATGATTAACCCATATCTTAGATGTCAATCATATTGCTTTCTTCTAATGCAAATCACCACAAGTCAACTGAGGAACAAAACGGCTGATCTCCAAGCAAAGCAGGAGGCCCAAACCACATAGGCCCAAGCACACTCTTGATGCAGGATACTCCCCGTTTTCATACTTGCCTTTCCAGTGGAGCACCAACTTGTGGGACACACACTGGATCGTTTTCTCTCCCTAACTCTCTCTACTTCTGTCACCCTAACCTCTTATGATTATCCTCTCCCATCTCTCGCCCCTACTCTTTCCCTCTTCTCCTCTTTTCTCTCCTCACTCTCTAAAGACCTTGCTTCTCGTTTCTCTCAACCTCCCTTTCTACTCTCTCTAACCCCTATCTCCTCTTGTCTTTGTCTTAATCCTTCTATCTCCTTCCTTAAACCTCTTTGTTTTTAAATCTGTTTCAATTTTCCCTCCCTTCTTTCACCCTTTTCCATTATTTATTGTACATAGGGGTTTTTTACTTGTAAGAGCACCTGACATGTAACATGCTGGTCATGCCCACACCCAACACCTCATGAATTTTTGTGAAACCTATCATACTATGAGAATACATATAAATGGGGAGTGATTTCATGTCACCATGTTATTGTTAATGAAACCACACTTCAAGAAAACTATGGTTGAGGCATTTCTATGACCCCAAAAATTGCACACACCCTCTCTTCACCCTAATAAATAATCCCCAAAAAAGTAAAATTCAATTTGCACCCTAGATATGTTTAGAATGAGTCTCCCTTCAATAATGAATCAAGACCATACATTTGGTGAATTTCAAGACCAAACCCTTTATGAATTCATAATCAACTTTCGCTTTTTTAACATTGTTCATCTAATGACAATAAGGCATCTAAAAAATTTGGAAAGGGAAAAATCCTTCCAAGGCCTAGATCTAAGAGTCTCACCAAAATGGATGACCTATATTAATTGAGCTAAAAAAACACTTTCCAGGGTGTCTTTTCAAATTTTGCAATGTTGTGATTATTCATTAGAATGAAAAGAGTATATATTTAAAAACTGTGGTCAAACAAATGGCTCTAACAAAATTTTTGAAGATTGCTTCATTATATTACTATATTTCTAAAAACACGACAGGGAGCTTCTGAGGGCTTCGTGGCCACCACTAAATAGCTTCTCTATTATGTTTCTCGTTCTCTCTCTCTCCTTTCTCTCACTTCCTTTAGTTCCTGCTCATCCTCTTACCTCTCTCCTCTTTATCACCCCTTCCTTTTCTCCCTCTTTTTGTTTTTGTACTTGGCTTTAAGGCTTCCTCACTTTTTTATTGACGTGGGACCCTGATTTTTAGTTTTTTACTTCTCTTTATTTTAGACCACTTGACCTGTGGGCCACCATATCATACCCAATTCTTGTTAGCATTTTTGTACAAATATTACAATATTAACACATTCTTCTCACCATTTCAGGAAAAATGAGCACACCTAACATGGTCTTCATCATATAACTCTTTAAAGATGTTGCAAGCCAAGAACTTTTGTTAAAAAATAATAAACAAACTTATCCAAAGAAAAGGGAAGAAAAAAGGGAGTTAAAGGGCAAGTATTCATCCGAGCTAATATAAGACTTAACATGTTACCATATAAATTGGACTCCCAAAAAACCAAGTAATCATGTTTCAAGGACCAGATGCTTTTTGAGACTAGTAGACTCAGGTGAGACCAATTTGACTCACTCCAGCCTGCAAACCATTGTGTAAGAGTCCATCTAAAGAGAAGGACAAAAACCAGTTTATTTGAAGACGGTCTAAAAAGAAACTCTGTACTTGTCAAATATATGGATTGGGGTCTGCACGGGAAAATGATCAACTAATTTTGCAGTGCTCCACCATGGGTAGCAAATGAGAGAGCTGAAGAACCCCATCCAAAAAGAACTTCCATATATGCATTTCAACCTTGAAGAAAGGACTTTAAGCTCAATGCTCAAAAAAACCAGTAACTGAGCCATCCCAAATCTGGGGGGAATGCAACAGCAATAAAACTCATAGATTTGGATGAAAATCATTTCTCCAACACATTAACAAGCCATTGTCAGCAGTATCAATAATGTGTTCACAAGTAAGGATATGGAGAGATTACAAGAAAAGCTGCACATTGCCTTTAGTATGCATGATGAAGGAGCTGAGGAGCAGAGGCATGAACGGCAAGGTGGGGGTGAAAGATCTATAGGAAGCATTACAAGATGGAAAGGAAGAAATGTGACAAAGGGAATGCACAGAGCCTTGGAAGGCTAATTTTGGGATATTGTCTTGGATGTCAGATCTACATCCAGTAATCTGAAGTTAGACTAAGTAAAATAAATAAATAAATAGATATATGCTAAGTTAAATTTATGGTAATGAGAGCAGGTATCAAGAAGATGAACTCAACATTCCCAACATGGACAACAAAAGTATTATGCATGTGCATTAGAGACTGGGACTCTGGAGAATTATAGGATGCCACTATTTGCTGTAGATTTGCACGTGATGGACAAAGAGTTTCACTTATGTTGCCGAGCAAAGAACCTTGTTGGCCTTGCATATAGCTTAGAGAATGCGAAATTATATTCATGTAGAGGAAAGGACATTAGTATCTCGAGAATAGTCAAAGATATCATAGAAACACGATGATTACTCATGTAAGGGACTCTGCATCTTGCCACATATGCATCTAATTCTGCAACAGCATTACTCTTGATGTCAATCTGCCCTAGTTCTTCTATTATCAGACCTATTCCTCTCTTACCAGTAAAGGTATTAGGATATCTTTTACTTTGAATGTCTCCTGTCCTATCCACCTTTACCCTAGCCTCATCTCACAATTCGCGTGCACACACACATGCACATACATACACACAGGGGGTCCGCAAGACATACATAATTTTAACAAGGAAAACAAGGAGCAAAATTATAGGGGCACAAGACCCAAATGGAGAAGCAAGGGGATGAGATGCTGAGAAGCTCCAAAGAGATGCAGTGAAGGGTGGGGAAAACCATGGCGAATCAGCATAACATGTGTCAAACTCAAAGGAAGCATAATCATCAAGCAAAACTGATCACAAGATGGTAACTGCAATAATATCTACAAATAAATCAGGAAGGTATACAGACCATACATCGAATAGGAAAATGAAAATAAAAAAAGACAACACGAGAAAATCATATTATACATATTGTACACATCACTCAGAAATTAATTTCAAAATAAACTGTAGTGGAAGATCAGTAGCACAAAGAACATAGAAAGCCAACATCAATTCATACTATCTCCCATTGGCCCCTTGTAGCAAGCAACCCAACATAATCAAGCTTTTACGATGAAGATGCACATGGCAACACACATATTTCACTCATCATCACCAATATCCAGCACTTTATAATACAAACTGCTCTACCTCAGAGTCTCCAGTTTTTTTTTTCTTTATTTTTTTGATCAGTATCTTTATTAATTTTTTAAAATCAAGTACATAGAGGCGCCTCAAAGAGTCCAATTCTAATGAGAAAACAGACAACGATGACAAAACTTGGGGACTTTCTATCACCTAGACATTGTCACCATTCAACAATGCAGGCAACAGCACTCGCACAAAATTGTGCAACTTTCTAAAGCGGATGAGCAACCAATTACAGATGAAAGTATAGGCTCGGTTTGGTGTCATCCTAACCTTTTCTTGATTCGCACAAGGCAATGACCCTTTGCGGTCTGTAATCGGGATTCATTTTAACTCTGACAGCCATAAGAAGTTAGCCACAAACAATTTACTGTATTGTATTACCACAATGCTCGTTTCAGACAACCATGGTCGGTCATAGTTTGCTCCACATACAACAAAACGAATGCTGCCATTCACTTTAAGGTAGCCCGCAATATTCAATTGTTTTAGTCTAAGCAATGGAAATAATTCCCTAATACACACCTGTGAGTTACAAATACGACAGGTCGCTCTCCAATACCTGCTGATACTAACTTCTTGAGCAAAACTGAGCTGACTTCCTGCAATAAAAAACAAAAGTGGCTTCTGACATCGATCCAAAGAAATAGGGTGATCAGAAGATAAGAATAAAATCCTTAAAAGTATTCTAATTAGACAAAACGACACCTGTTCAATAATATAATAAAATGAACTTTAATTGGATGAATTCTATGCATTTGATATGTCAATCCCAATTAAGCAGCTAGGTAAAATCGTTATAGAAGTTGATCGTGTCGAAAATGCAACTGTACGTTAGAGATATAAATGGTATATATTATTTAATAAGGTTGTGTGAGACATTTATTGAGACATTTACTTAAACAAGCGCACGTTTGTAATTTTTTCACATCAATAAAAGTACGTGTGTGCGCATGTCTGATCCATCCAAGGGAGCACACACACTTTCATCCCCCATTATCTCAAGCCCATCTTTCTCTTGTCTTTCTATAGCCGCTTCTTCTTCTTCTTCTTTTTCTTCACATGTTCTATTCTTTCCCCTCTCTCATATTCTTATGTAGTACTCACAGATTAACCCAAATCCAGATTACACATTCAACTTGGTATCATAGTAAGGTTCAGATCTGAAAAAGTGAGAGTTGAATGTTCAAACTCTGGCCATAAAACTTTTTGGAACTCAACAGTACATCCAGACTGTTGGACACTGTATGACAAGAAGAAACCCTAATAGGTCTCGTTTTTGAAGATCAAGGCAAGGATATTCATATATACAGTATTTTGAAGAGAAGTGTCATAGGGCTCTGATCTAGTTTTTTGGCAAAGGTGCCATTCTTTTTACAGCCTATTTCTCAATACTTTGGGTGATCCAGTAATGGATGATCTGATCAGCCAGGTTGCACAAATTTGTTTTTACTAAGGAGGAATTTGAAATAATCTATTGAGTTTTTTAGGGCCTGATGCTAATTATGTGATGTGTATCGAATGGTAAGACCTGAAGCTTACTATATTGCTGAGTGTTTGCAGCTATTTGCTATGTATCAAATAGCTTTACAGCCACTTTACCTCTGAAACTTGCAGCCACGATTGTGGAACCGATTGCTTTATGCATTGTGAAGTACTTTTGGGGTTTACAAAGAGTATTTTGAGAGAAATCTGATGGTGTATCCAGATTTTAGCAACAGTTGTAACCTGTTTTTTTGTCTTGAAGAAGTAACAATGTCACGACAAACATCAAGTATGAAGCATTCTGGACTTCAAATCATTATTTCTAAATTTGATGGCACAAACTATTTGGAGTTGGGCCAGATCTATAAAGTCATTCCTCAGTGATAGAAAAAACGTTGCGCTGTATTGATGGTCGTATAGTGAAACAAGATGCTATGGAGTCATCTTATGCAGATTGGGAAGTCGATGAAATGATCGTTATGAACTGAATTCTAAGTTCCATGAACCCAACCTTGAGGCCCACATTTAAGAATTTTAATACTTCAAGGAGATAGGGGATGCAGTGGCTGAGGCATATAAAAGAGGAATACCACAAAAATTTGAGTTAGAGCAGTAAATTAGCAAATTTCAAACAAATAGATTTACAATCGAAGGCTATTATGCGACAGGGCTCTTGGAATGAATGATATCACTACCAGCTCGTAAGCTGCTCTCATTGCACAAAATTATATAGAGACAGTAGAATAAAATAAGATATTTGATCTTCTAGGGAACCTTAATCCTGTTATGAAAATGTTAAATCTAATATTCTGGGTGGTGAACCTTTTCCACACTTGGAACAGTATTCCCTTCTCCAACATGAAGAGTAATTTGTGGGTAATGAACATAGTTGTTGGAGGCGGAAGCGGGATCGGGAGCAGGATCAGTTCGGGATTTGCCGAACCGCCCTATAGTGGAAGCTCCCTAGGGTTAGGATCGGCATCCATACAATGAACAAGACAAAAAATGAGACCCTTAGGTTTATGGGAGTGAGATCCGATGTCAATGGGTTTAATGTTTTGACCAGCAGGAATCTAATCTCCACTATACTAAAAAATGAGGCTGTCAAGTAGAGCTAGTACGAGCTCCCTTGGTTAAAGAATTGAGGTGTAAGTATGTTATATAACAAGGTTCCTCTTGTTCTAATATCAAAACTCTTAAAGTATAGGAATCAAGGTCCTTAGCTGATTAGCCCCGAGGTCCGCAAGTGCCATTTACCAGGGATCCCTTATCAAGTGCCCCCAGCCTTTAATTGAGGTGGGGTTCTTGAATTGTATTCACTAGTTGTTAAGGTATTGTCTTAGAGTGTCAGCTCGTCATGTGCTGAGAGGTGCTGGAGGTTATATTCACAATATTAAACGGAACAAGTTAAATGGGCAACGCTCCGAGTCATTGGTTTATGTTCACTGCAATGACAGGTTGTTAAGTAGACTGCGATCAAACTATGCAGAGATGTACAAAGGATAGGATTTTCATCTTGACGATGACCACCTCGAGGATGATGCTGGGGCATTAGAAGCATTAGGCGACTGCCATGATGCTGATGGTGAAGGCTCGTCAAAGTGCTCTATTACCAAGGCCTATCCCTCCCACTACATCTTCAGGTCATGACACAAGTTTGGTATGCACCATTTCCATTGAGTCCTCAGCAACCAAGAATCCTACCACTCAAGGGTCATCTTCTTCGAATGTAGTCTCCTTTGCTTCCATTGTTTCCCAAAGGCTGACTGTCCGAAGGAGTAAGAGGACAAGATGAACTAGTCTCTCTCTCTCTCTC